AAAAGAGTGCGCGCGGCACTCAGGCGAGAGCCGCCCTCAATCCGTGATGTTGTTAACTCTCCTTGGTTGGGTATTCGTTTTGAATAGAGCACTGCGGTCGTGTCCTTCTCCCGTTTCCCGCCTCTCCCCGCTTTCCTGCTCTTGCGATGTATGTCCCTCTTGTGATCTGGGGGATGCGATCTGCGAAACTGTCGCCACTTTCGAGGGCTGCTGGTGGGTCCAGCGGAGTGAGGCACCGCGCAGATCTGAGCGGGACCTCGCCGTCCCTGGGGGGCTGCGATCTGCGAAACCGTCGCCACGTTCGAGGGCTGCTGATGGGTCCAGCGGAGTGAGGCACCACGCAGATCTGAGCGGGACCTCGCCGTCCCTGGGGGGCTGCGGTCTGCGAAACCGTCGCCACTTTCGAGGGCTGCTGATGGGTCCTGCGGAGTGGGGCACCGCGCAGATCTGAGCGGGACCTCGCCGTCCCTGGGGGCTGCGATCTGCAAAACCGTCGCCACTTTCGACGGCTGCCCCTGGGAGGCTGCGATCTGCGAAACCGTCACCACTTTCGAGGGCTGCCCCTGGGAGGCTGCGATCTGGGAAACTGTCGTCCTTTTCGAGGGCTGCTGGTGGATCCTGCGGAGTGAGGCACCGCGCAGATCTGAGCGGGACCTCGCCGTCCCTGGGGGGCTGCGATCTGGGAAACTGTCGCCATTTTCGCGGGTTGCTGGTGGGTCCAGCCGAGTGAGGCACCGCGCAGATCTGAGCGGGACCTCGCCGGCCCGTTGGGGGCTGCGATCTGCGAAACCGTCGCCACGTTCGAGGGCTGCTGATGGTTCCAGCGGAGTGAGGCGCCGCGCAGATCTGAGCGGGACCTCGCCGTCCCTGGGGGGCTGCGATCTGGGAAATTGTATGAAATTGTCGCCACTTTCGAGGTATGTTGGTGGGTCCAGCGGAGTGAGGCACCGCGCAGATTTGAGCGAGACCTCGCCGTCCTTTGGAGGCTGCGATCTGCGAATTTGTCGCCATGCTCGGGCTTCTGGTGAGTCCAGCGGAGTGAGGCACCGCGCAGATCTGAGCGGGACCTCGCCGGCCTTGGGGGGCTGCGGTCTGCGAAATTGTCGCCATTTTCGAGGGCTGCTGATGGGTCCAGCGCTGAGTGAGGCACCGCGCAGATTTGAGCGGGACCTCGCCGTCCCTGGGGGGCTGCGATTTTCGAAACCGTTGCCACTTTCGAGGGCTGCTGGTGGGTCCAGCGGAGTGAAGCACCGCGCAGATCCGAGCGGCACTTCGCCGTCCCTGGGGCTGGGGGCTGCGATCTGGGAAACTGTCGCCACTTTCGAGAGCTGTTGGTGGGTCCAGCGGAGTGAGGCACCGCGCAGATCTGAGCGGGACCTCGCCGTCCTTGGGGGGCTGCGATCTGGGAAACTGTCGCCATTTTCGCGGGTTGCTGGTAGGTCCAGCGGAGTGAGGCACCGCGCAGATAGATCTGAGCGAGACCTCGCCGTCCTTCGGGGGCTGCGATCTACGAAATTGTCGCCGTTTTCGAGGGCTGCTGGTGGGTCCAGCGGAGTGGGGCGCCGCGCAGTTTTGAGCGGGACCTCGCCGCCCCTGGGGGGCTGCGACCTGCGAAACCGTCGCCACCTTGGAGGGCTGCTGGCAGGCCCAGCGGGGTGAGGCACCGCGCAGATCTGAGCGGGACCTCGCCGTCCCTGGGGGGCTGCGATCTGCGAACCTGTCGCCCTTTTCGAGGGCTGCTGGTGGGTCCAGAGGCACCGCGCAGATCTGAGCGAGTCTTCGCCGTCCCTGGGGGGCTGCGATCTGGGAAAGTCAGGTAAGCCTTGCACCAGTCGGTGCGTGAGCAGAGAGAAAAACAAAACGAAGCCAACATGCCTTTAGCTGTGTGGCCAAACCTTAACTACGCGCTCCCACTCGCGAGCTGCACCGCCGTCTTGGCGGAAGTAGTCAGCGAGTCGCGCATGGGAGCCCGCCACTTGTAGTGCATTCTTCAACACAAGGTGCCCCCAAGTTTGGCGAGGCCTGCCTCGCCTCCTCGCTCCGGCAGGCTTACGCAAGTCCAAGGTTCCCGGTTCGAACACCGAGCGTCGGACTGGGTCGCTGCCGGGTCGCCTCGCCAGCTGCCCCATGAAAACCATCTGTCTTCTGGCGAGGTGGGTGCTGAGCTTATCTTCCCCAGCAATGTTGAGAACGGCCGCATTAGAAACCCTACTATAATACGCATGAGGAATTCGGCAGATTCTCCGGAGGCAGCGGTTCTGGAAAGCATCCTGCCTCTGCCGCTCCGCTTTATTTAAGCATGCGGCAAAGAGCGCGTGCATTAGTTTAGAAACAATGCAAGCGTTGAACATGTGTATTTTACGACGCCTGCTCATTCTTGCATGTGACCAAATCGAATGCAACACCTTAAAATCTTGAGTTGCTGCTCCTAGTCTGCGGCTTAGCTCAGATCCGATCCGCCCGTCTGCCGACAATGACGTGCCGAGGTATATGATGGAGCTTTTGCTTGCGATCGGCTCTCCGGCATTGTTGTAGATGTCGCCGTTTGCCCTGACTTTCATGAGTTCGAGCTTGCCCCAATTGAAGCTCAGGCCGTAGTGCGCCCCACAACCCTCGATGCAATTCATCAACTCCTGCACTACCAAAGAGTCGCTGTCGATCAAAAGAGTGTCGTCTGCATATACCAAGTCCCGGACCAACTGCGTTGCTGTCTGTGGCCCGACGCGCCGGTGAAGCTCCGCATGGGAGTGAGCCAATAACGTTGTCATCACGATGGTGAACAGAAACGGTGACAGAGGGCATCCCTGACATATTCCATAGTGTTGAGGTCGCTCGTGAGAGTTGGATCCAAAATCCGCAACGATGAATGCCCGCCTCTCGTAAATTGCCGAAACCATCTGCACGAAACGGCACGGACAACCGAATCTACGCAGGGAGGATGCTAAAGCAGCGGGCGACACCGAATCGAAAGCTTTCGCCCAATCCAGCGCCAGGAAATAAATTTTGCCATCTCGGGTGCTCCATGCGTCCTCAAGGACCCTGCGGGCTAGAAACACTGCGTCGGCCGTGCCACGTTTAGATCGAAAGCCAAACTGTGTCTGCCAGATTCTGTCTTCAGCCCCCGCGTGCTTCAGCCGCCGTAACAACACAATCGCAAACATTTTGTAACCAATTGGTAATAAGCTGATTGGTCTATAGTTATCGCATTCTGCAGGGTCCCCCTTTTTATAGATCATCCGCACTCGTGACTTATGCCAGTCATCAGGCACTTGCCCACTCTCCCAGACAATGTTGCAGAAACGCGTAACCCACGAAAGCGCCGTAGATCCATCCTCCGTGGCTGTCCTCCAAAACTCTGGCGGCAAGTCGTCGAGCCCTCCAGCTTTTCCGGGCTTAAGGGTGCGGGCTGCACGATGTACCTCGTCTTCCGTGATGGCGCCAAGGTTTACGTTTAATTCGGTCTCGTAGAGGGCGTCCGTCGGCATAGCGCTCGTCGGCCGCACTGCCCATTGCACCCGCTCCAGGTGCTCAGCAAGCGTGTCGGCCCGGCAATCGGTGTCCACCATCTCCCCTCTGGAACTTCTGAGCCTCCCCTGCTGTCGGGAAGCGCCCTTTCGGAGCCTCCGTATTTGGCCCCAGTCTCCGTCGGCTGTCAACTCATCCAGCCAAGCCGCTCTATCCTGCGCCACTGCTGACTTAATCTGTTTCACAAGGACTCGCTCCTCTTCTATTTTCCCTAGTCTCCTTGCCGTGGAGCGCCGCTCGATGAGCTCGAGAGTGCGAGGTCGGATCCAAGGTTTCCGCGGCCTTCTCGGTTGCGCTGGCAAAACGACGTCTGATGCATTCCGGAAGCCATCGACAAGTTGGCACCATGCAAGGTTCACGTCATTACTGCCGGGCGCCGCCTCCTGGAAATTGTCCAAAGAATCAACTAACACGTTAACGAAACGTTGCTGCGAAGCGTAGTCCCGGAGTTGACTAACATCAGGCTGGCGTTTGGGCTCTTCCGTCAAAGCCTTCTCCACGTTCATGCGGACGCCGGCCTTCACCAAGAAATGGTGCGAGGACACAGGAACGTCCGACAATACAGACACACCGGTAACGTTATGAGCCCATGATTGCTCACAGACCACGTAATCTATCTGGGAGTGCGTGCGCCAGTCCACGCGGCTCCCTGCCCGGCAGCCGACGTTGTAGCTCGTTGCCAATTGCTCTTGCGACGACTGGAAGAAGGTATTGGCGAGGCACATCGATAATTGTGAGCACATTTCAACCAGCAGATACCTGTTGGCATCTTCCTGACAACTGTGGCCCGGGTGCCTGAAGAAGTAAGGGCCCACGATGAGGCCTTCATCGTCGAACGTGTCGTACAGCTTTGCGTTGAAATCGCCGAAAATCAGCTTGGGGCCGTGCGATGAACGGGAAGTGACGAACTCTCCCAAGTCATGGTAGAAGCCCTGTCGCTTTGGATTGTCGTACCCAGAATGAGGAGCATAAGCGGAGAACACCACCGCCTTCCCACCCGGCACACGCAATTTCAAAGACGCCATCCGGTCAGAAGCCTGACAGAATCCAACTATAGATTGCCTGAGACCGGGGTCGACGATGAAACCGACTCTTGCCCTGTCCTCCTCCTCCGTGCCCCCCTTGCCGCCCGACATGATCACAAGGAAACCGGACTCCGTGATAAACGTGTCGGATTTAGGTATCCACGTTTCTTGAATGCATAATAGAAGTATGCCGGATTTCTTCATAGCAGCTTCTATCTCGATTTGTTTCGACTCAGTGTATCCTTCGATGTTCCATGATGCAATAGCGAATTCTTCTCTCGTGGGTCGTAAACGACGTCCCCGGACAGCAAGTAGCGGTAGTGCGGCTTTGTCGTCACGACGGCTCCTGCTTGATGGTGTGTGAGGGCCTCGTATGGGATCGTCGCGCTTCGGCGTCGGCTCCCTGCGGCACTCGTGTGAAACCTCTCTGCTCTCGCACCGCTGGCCCCATCATTTTCCATCCTTTCCCCCTTTACCCTTCCTCTTCCCCTTGGCCCCGCTCTTTCCTGCTCCCTTGGACGGAGCACTATCGAGCTTGCGTTTCATCAGGGCGATGAGGTTGGTGAGGTCGGGGTACTCTGCGTCTGTAAACCAAGTTTCCCAACCAGACCCGTAAACTACCTTCAGACTGCCATTGTCGATAGAAACTTCAACGGCAATATCTTCGCCCACCCATACTTTTCCTTCCTCTGGGTCGGCCCACACGGCCTTGCCATCATATCCCCATTTCTTCAATAAGTGTTTTACTCCGAACACGATGGAGGTGACGACACGCTTCTGTAATGGTTGGTCATGTTTTGCCCAGACTGTATTTCCCCCCTCCTTGAAACTCGCTTTCCGAAAGGCCTTAACTGCTGCATCACGGTCTCCGATGGTACCGAAGTTCGCAAAGATAATCCCCTGAAACTCCCCCTTGGTGTATATTTCTTCCGGCTGCGGCGCGTACAGCTCCCACACTTTGTCATGTACCCACCCCTTCGCGGAGTCTAGGTCCACGAGCGTTTGCAAGCCCCCGAGCACCATGGTCTTGTCCGTCTCCTGGGAGTCCGGGGTACTCTGGCCAGCGACCTTCAGCATGGACAGTTGCGCCTCCAACTCCTGGATCTTGTTCATCACGTCGTCGTTGGCGCTCTGGTTGGAGCGGGGTGTTTCGGCCAGGTCCATGATGTTCTCGAGATTCGTGAGGCGCATCTCCACCTCCTCCATTCTCTCCTCCGTACTCCCGATCCGCTCCTCCGCTGAACTCATCCTCGTCCCAAGCGCCCCGCTCAGCTGCGTGAACTGGCTCTCGAGGTTGGTCATTGCCGTCCTCAGTGGCTGCACCTCCTCCCTGAGCAGCTTCGCGATCTCATGAAGCGTTGGTGGGCGAGCATCCGCCGGAGTATTCGGGGTCTCAAGATGATGAACCTCCGCGCCTGTGGGCAAGTCGTCTATTTCGTGTAGCGGACTGAACAGACGTTGTCGAACGTCGCGTTCAAGCACTCCTCGAACAGGTGTCCCTGCCACCCGAGAGCTCGTACCAGCCATCGCAAGCTGCGGGTAAGGGAAAGCTTGTAGATAAATAAGCGGGCAGACTGTGACTGTGTCGAACTTTGCAACACTTTGAAAGTTCGCCGTAGGCGTCTTGAGCCAGTCTAGATTGGCTGAGGGGCTGATTGGGGGGCCAGCCTAGCGATCTGAGAAAATGTCGTCACTTTCGAGGGCTGCTAGTGGGTCCAGCGAAGTGAGGCACCGCGCATATCTGAGCGAGATCTCGCCGTCCCTGGGGGGCTGCGATCTGGGAAACCGTCGCCACTTTCGAAGGCTGCTGGTGGGTCCAGCGGAGTGAGGCACCGCGCAGATCTGAGCGGGACCTCGCCGTCCTCGGGGGGCTGCGATCTGCGAAACCGTCACTACTTTCGAAGGCTGGTGGCGAGTCCAGCGGAGTGAGGCACCGCGCAGATCTGAGCGAGACCTCGCAATCCCTGTGGGGCTGCGAGCCTCGCGACTGTCGCTCGCAGAAGTATATGCGCCCATGTCACGTCAGCACCTCCGTAAAAACGTCTCCCAAGCTACGCGTGCCCCGCATTGCGCAGGGGTTGGGTACGTCGCCAGGGAAGTTTAACGAATGTGCGCGGCGCTAGGGCGAGAGCCATATTTTGATAACGTCCCGCCCTCAATCCGTGCAACTCTTGCAATTGTTTAAAACGAATGTGCGCGACGCTAAGGCGAGAGCGACATTTTGAAAACCACCCGCCCTCTATTTGCGAAGCTGTTGCCGTTGCTTCAGCTGTTCTTGAGAACCCCCACCCAACACTTCCGCCCCCGGAGCGGACCCTGACCCCCCGCCAGGTCCCCACCAGGTCCCCACCAGGTCCGCCCCCCGCACCCTCCTGGAGGCTCTGTTCTTGAGACCCCCCACCCGACATTTCCGCGCCTGGAACGGACCCTGACCCCCCACCAGGTCCCCACCAGGTCCGCCCCCCGCACCCTCCTGGAGGCTCTGTTCGCTTTCGCTTTGGCATGGGGATGGTATTTCGACCCGCGACCCCCCTGCGACCCCCGCGGGAACCTTCCCAGGACCCCCCTCGGCATGGGGATGTTATTTCGACCCGGGACTCCCTTGCAACCCACCCCCCTTTGGCGGGGAAGGGGTGAAAGGGAAGGGGCTTCCCTTCGAATCGATGACGACATTGTTGAATTTCGCTCTCGCTTTGGCATGGGGATAGTATTTCGACCCGGGATCCCCCTGCGCCCCCCTGGAACCCCTCCCGGCATGGCGAGGTGTTTTGAGCCGGGACCCTTCTGCGACCCCCCCGGGACCCCCCCCCTTGATGGCGGGGATGGGATGAAAGGGAAGGGGCTCCCCTGGAATCAATGACGACGTTGTTGAATTTCGCTTTCCCTTTGGCATGGGGATAGTATTTCGACCCGGGACCCCCCTGATTCTCCCTTGGACCCCCCCCGGGACCCCCCCCCGCATGGGGATGGCATTTTGACTTAGGATCCCTTGCGATCCCCTGGGGCCCCCCCGGGTCCCCTCCTTGGCGGGGAAGGGATTCAAAGGAAAGGGGCTTCCCGTCGAATCAATGACGACGTTGTTTAATGTCGTTTTCGCTTTGGCATTTCGCTTTCGCTTTGGCTTGCGCGCTTGCGGAGGAGAACGGATGAAAAGGGGGGAGGGAGCGACGTCGACGGCGACGGCGACGGCGAGGACGACGACGAATGCTCAAACGGAACAGCGTGAAGAGCCTCTTCGAGAAAGGAGGGGAAGCGGCGGCGACGACGGGGACAACCTCTTCCACACGCCGACAGGGTTAGCGGATACATACACACATACATAAACATATACATACACATATACATAGACGTAGACACATGCACATACCTATACCTACACGTATACATTTATACACACATATATATATATACATATATATACACACCACATACAAATATAGGTGTAAACGCGTACCCATATACATTCAGAAATGTATGTATACATGTATATATATGTATATGTGTATATATATAAAAATATATATGTTGTCAATGTATGTACGTATGTGTGTATGCATACATGTATGTACACATGTATGTGTGTATGCATACATGTATGTACATGTGTGCGCATCGCCCGTGGCGGCGTCGCACGGATGCCCTGTTCCGGCCCCCCCGCCGGCACCTGCACCAGCCTGGGTTCGCTGGCGCCGAGGGAGAGCCTGAGGCTCTGGCTGCTCTGCGCCGCGACGGTGGAGCGGGTGGACTGGGGCACACAGTTCACGGAGCTCTCTGGAGGAGGATGTTCGGGAGCGTTCGAGGATCGAGAAGGCTACATGTGCACACTTGCAAGCACTGGAGGCAGCAAAGCCCAGGTGAAGCATACATGCGGCACCTTCTTGCGGCAAGCGAGGGAAGCAGAGAGAGAGAGAGAGAGACAGACTATCTCTGGCGTCCGCCTATCCCTGTCGGGCGCGCCATGGAGGCTCGAGATGGAGGGAAGATTCTAACATAGGGGGACGAATAATGACATAAACATAAAACTCGGAGGTCCGCGCAGATTTCTCGGATACGCGCTGGACCCCCTTGGCGGCGCCTCCGGCGCCGCCCCTGGCGCGCTCCGCGCGCCAGGGAGGGGGGTCCATTACCGATCCGAGAAATGCGCGGGGACCTCCGAGTTTGTATGTTTATGCCACTTTTTGTTCTCCTATAACAGGCGGAGAACGTTCGAGGATTCGGGTTTTTGGGGGCGTCTTCCTTCGGGGGCGCATCCGTGGCCGTGGCCTGGGTCTGCCTTGGGGGCCCTGGCCGGAGCGTGCCCCGAGAGGAAGAGGGGGAGGAGGAGGAGGAGGAGGAGGAGGAGGAGGAGGAGGAGGAGGAGGAGGAGGAGGAGGAGGAGGAGGAGGAGGGGGCCAGCGCGATCAGCTGCACGCAAAAGAGCGGCGCTGTGCCGGAGTGACCTCTGGTGCGGGTCCACGGGCGTCCCCCCAACACTGGCCTGCGCTTCTGGAGCTGCCCCCCCTCCCCCTCCCGCGGATCTGTAAAACTCACGAGGGGAAAAAACACACAGACACAAGTAATCGTCGATTTCCCAGAAAATATGGGAAAATGTGGGAAGAGGGGGGGAAGACAAAAACCCCGGAAATATGGAAAAATATGGGGAATCCTGTTATTTGTGTGTGTATTTGTTTGTGTGTCCCAGGGCCCCTTCAAAAACCGCGCACCTGAGGTCACTCCTGCCCAGGGTCACTGTTGCGTGTTGACGAGAGGACCCGAACATGCCGGCCGGCATCACGGGACAGATCGCGACGGCTTCCCCCGTCCCCCCCCCCCTTCGTTTCAGGCATCGGGGCCCTCGGGAAGTCGCCAGGGGGAGAAAAGAGAAAATGTGCGTTGGGTCTAAAGGCCCACGTCGCGAAAATATCGTGGCGTCCGCTGTGTGTGTGTGTGTGTGCGGGGGGGTAGGATGAGGAGGAGAAGAAGGAGGAGGAGAAGGAGGACGACGACGAGGAAAAGGAGGAGGGACGAGGGATGAGGTAAGAGGAAGGAGGCAGGAGGCAGGAGGTATGAGGTAGGAGGCAGGATGTAGAAGGAGCAGTAGGAGAAGGAGGCGAGGGATGAGGAGGAGGAGGAGGCAAAGGTGGGAGGCAAGAGGCAGGAGGCACAAAGCAGGAAGCAGGAGGCAGGAGGTAGGAGGCTGGAGGCAGCAGGTAGTAGTAGTAGTAGTAGTAGTAGTAGTAGTAGTAGTAGTAGTAGCAGTGGTAGTGGTAGTGGTAGTGGTAGTGGTAGTGGTAATGGTAGTGGTAGTGGTAGTGGTAGTGGTAGTGGTAGTAGTAGTAGTAGTAGTAGTAGTACTAGTACTAGTAGTAGTAGTAGTAGTAGCAGTAGTAGTAGTAGTGGTAGTAGTAGTCGTAGTAGTCGTAGTAGTCGTAGTAGTCGTAGTAGTCGTAGTAGTAGTAGTAGTAGTAGTAGTAGTAGTAGTAGTACTAGTAGTAGTAGTAGTAGTAGTAGTAGTGCTAGTGGTAGTAGTAGTAGTCGTAGTCGTAGTCGTAGTAGTACTACTACGAATAGCAGTAGCTGTAGCAGTAGCAGTAACATTAGTAGTAGTAACAGTCGTAGGAGTAGCGGTCGGCATAGTAGTAGTAGTAGTCGTAGTAGTAGTAGTAGTAGCAGTTGTTGTTGTAGTAGTAGTAGTAGTAGTAGTAGTAGTAGTAATACTAGTAGTCGTAGTCGTAGTCGTAGTAGTAGTTGTAGTAGTAGTAGTAGGAGGAGGCGGAGGGGTCGTAGCAGTATTAGTGGTATTCGTGGTGGTAGTAGTAGTAGCAGTAGTAGTCGTAGTAGTAGTAGTAGTAGTCGTAGTAGTAGTAGTAGTAGTAGTAGTAGTAGTAGTAGTAGTAGTAGTAGTAGTAGTAGTAGTAGTAGTAGTAGTAGTAGTAGTAGTAGTAGTAGTAGTAGTAGTAGTAGTAGTAGTAGTAGTAGTAGTAGTAGTAGTAGTAGTAGTAGTAGTAATAGTAGTAGTAGTAGTAGTAGTAGTAGTAATAGTAGTAGCAGTAATAGTAGTGGTAGTGGTTGTAGTAGAAGTAGTAGTAGTAGTAGTAGTAGTAGTAGTAGTAATAGTAGTACTATTACTACTACGGCTACTACTGCTAGTACTAGTACTAGTAGTCGTCGTCGTCGTGGTCGTAGTAGTTTTACTTGTAGTCGTCGTAGTAGTAGTCGTAGTCGTAGTAGTCGTAGTAGTCGTAGTAGTAGTAGTACTAGTAGTAGTAGTAGGTGTAGTTGTAGTAGTTGTAGTAGTAGTAATAGTAGTAGTAGTAGTAGTA